AAAAATGTAACTTGAGTAGAGATAAAGTGATTCAATTGAAAATTTAGAAGTCTTAAATTTATTTATATATCAACCTTAGAAAAGGAATATAAATGTTTCAAGGATTCCTTGCTGAATGTGCTATGCATAAAGGATATGTACCAAGAAAAAAAAATAGATATAAAATGACAAATTCATTTACAAGTTGCAGTCAATTTCTGAGTCAAAGATGTTAAATATTCTTTGTTTAAAACATACAAGAGCAATAAATCCTTTTCATACACTGAGTTTAATGAGCATCCAAACATTTTACCAGACAATTTACTAAGAGAGTGTCTAAGTGGGACTTACAGTGTTCTTCAAAATTTTAAAACCGATAGATTTTGCCATTAAAGTAACTGCTGAACTAACACTATTTATGAAGTGCTTCGCTGTATGTTGAAGATGTACATTGACTGAAGAACATGAAAAATTTTCTTAAATCTTTGCCAGCTCCTCTGCTTTGATTAAAAGTCCTGATTCAACAAAGAAATTAGCTTGAAAAATTATAACCACAGAGAGCACAAGGCTCCAATATTTATATTCTGCTACTACAAGTAATTGCCAGATCATTTTGAGCTTTGAAAAAAAAACAACATAAATCAGTTATCATTACCCAGACCAATCCTTCCATGGAAAGAGTAATGCCTGATGAATAAAAAAATCCCATTCGAACCATAAAACACATTACAACAGACTGATATTTAATGTGCCTCCCCTTTGGCAACCCCTATTGCTACGATATTTCACAAAAGCTATAGCAATTTCAATTTAATCATTCTAGCCATCCATCTGTTGCTCTCTGGGTGATGGCTACTGAACAGGCCAGTGAGCAAAGGCTGACAGTTGCTTTTTTCCGTCAAGTCTAGCATATCAATGATTGTACCTATCTTTGTTTATTACAATGCACCCAAGTGACCCCAGCGCTTATGCACATCATATCATGGTAAATGCTTTGATTTTCACTGAAATCATCAAAATACAGTCCAGGGGCCCTGTTACGAGTCATTACGCCTTGGATTTGTATGAATCACATGAAAAAATGCCCTGCTGTGTGCGGTCCCTCATTGTGGTAAACAGGGCCCTGGGAGCTGTGTAGGCATAATGGGCACGCTACATTTTATACAGCCATCAAAGTTTAGATGATGAGAGAGCGCTGCGGAGTTGGCAGAAAATATATGTATAGAGGAAGGAGTGACGACCATGATACATGGACGCACATGAAAGAAAACTGAGCTCGTTTGGGTTCACTATGGATGGCATCCACGGGTTTTATATCCGTTAGGTAAGGAGTGATGTTCTTGGCTTAAAAAAGGCACATGGTTAACTGAAGAGGTTTTTGTATTTAAGTTTATAAAGCTGTGTCACATGGGCTACCCAGACTGCAGTAAAGACTGAATAGACCATGTTCATTCAACTAAAAGGATTTCAGTGGAGATGAAAATTCACTTCCCAGTCAAAAAATGACAAAAACAGAGACAGCATATGGTGATTAGTAAGTATATTCTCATGTAGGTTGCTCATATGCAGAGTGGTTGAATACTACGTATTGTTTCAATTAAATTTCAATAGTATTTGAAACTTCGCCTGAGGCTCAACAAATTAATGTACCACCATATTGTCTCGTGTATTGTGGAAACGTATGTTTCACGTTCCTTGTTGTTGGCAAAATTGCAGGACTGATGATGAAAAAGGCTCTGTTCCAAATGGTTTGATTAGCACACTATGAAAGTAGGAGCACTCACAAGCTTTAAATAGATTGGGTTTCTGCCATTGGGGATATAAGCACCAGTAGGAGGGGGGGGGGGGAGGGGGAAAATTTAATAATTTTCAAAGTTGAAATGTTTTGCAGTATGTTGGTTGATGACATTAATTACACAGTACTAGTATACAGATGAGTGAATATCATTTCCAATATGAGCAGAGAGTGAGTGGGAGGGGGAGTATGGGAGATGGGAAATATTTCAACACATTTTCAAATATGTTAAAAAGAACATTGTAAAATTTAATTAGTATGATATGACATTTACATACAGGTGAACTGATGCACTTACATAATGTAAAGAGTTTTTTACCNGGGGGGGGGGGGGGGGGGGGGCTTTGACAGATGGGGAAAATTTAATAATTTTCAAAGTTGAAATGTTTTGCAGTATGTTGGTTGATGACATTAATTACACAGTACTAGTATACAGATGAGTGAATATCATTTCCAATATGAGCAGAGAGTGAGGGGGAGGGGGAGTACGGGAGATGGGAAATATTTCAACACATTTTCAAATATGTTAAAAAGAACATTGTAAAATTTAATTAGTATGATATGACATTTACATACAGGTGAACTGATGCACTTACATAATGTAAAGAGTTTTTTTACCATAAGTGCAGCCCACATTTAGAATCTACATGTAGCACAACACTGACAAGTTTTTGGGTGGCAATTAATATCAAAATTTAATACCACTCTCGAATGAGGAAGCTGGACAGAACCATTCATATGTGAACCATATTTGGACCAATCTCAGGAAGAAATAGTTTTCATCTCTTCCTAAACATTGTATTAGGGTAAAAATTGTCTACTGTTTTATATTTGCCTTGCTTAGGTTGGAATTTTTTCATTCTTGTGCCCTCTAGCAAAATCCTGGAACCACCAGAAATCCAATGTGACCAAGATGTTCAATTGCATTTTGGTTCTGAAATTTATTATTTTTAAAAGAATTCTTGTTAACATAGCGCGCCAATGTCACAAAGAGTAATTTTGTGGATATCCACCTTCCCTTTACCCCATGGAGCCTAGAAATATATTCAGCCAGTTGTGATTATAACAGCTCATTTTGGTGGAAACCAATCATATACAATGTATTACACTGACTTTGTCATGCAAAACCATTTTTGATCTGTCAGTCAGTGGAAATACAATGCTAAAAAGTCAGTGTCATTCACATTTCCAATCTGCCTAATGCGTTTTAACGCACTGTTCCTAGAAATTAGCGAAACTGAATAACATGAAGCAGCACTCTAGTTGCCTGTGAATGTTTCCTGGAAAATATTTTGAATACAAGAGCTTTTTTCAGACATCTCTGGAGAGCACAGTTATAACCTGTGGATCTGTGAAAAGTGGATAATATTATCATGCTAGAGTAGTTGAAACACTTCTACAAAAAAAATTGCTTCTGACTTGTTGTGCATGTACATTAAATATCTCTGTGGGACTATTGTAAAAATGCATCAAAATAATGCATGAGCCCATATTAAATGTTTATTGCATAAAATACTTGCATATGGGCCTATATGTGAATAAGTCATAAGGTATGATTGATATATGAGTAGAATATCAAATTTGATTATGAAGGTCAAGGTGATATTCAAGGTGAAGGTCAGGTGAAATATAATAAAATATCATGAAACAAATATTCTTATGAGGGTAATGAAAAGAGAGGGTGATAGGTACAAAGGTGTTGGGTTAATGTCTCTGTATGTTCAATGATACTGAAAATAACAACATGATTTAAGGCAATCAAGATTAAGATGATTAACTGCTGGAACATGTGTAGACTAATTATCTTACCAACAGGCTGTGATTAAAATCTCAACTTTACGTCTGCATCACATTAAAATGCAATATGCAATTAAAAAAAATAATAATAAAATCTTCAGGCTGTTAAGATATATTTTTTTAAGTGCTGAGGGACCCTAATGACTAGTTTACCTATAAAAGTACATAGTAGAATGCACCCAAGTTTCATATGTGTTCAGTACAATACTGTGATTTATCTGTGTCTTGGACAAACTTCAAGGTAAAATTATCTAAATGGCAAGCTGCAAATAGATCTGAGTTCAGGAACTTGAGGTGTATTCTGATCACTTTTACTCTCCGTTTGTGCCATGCCTGATTAAAGGCAGCCTTGGGTACACTGTATGAGATCATCTATGGAACTGAAAGATAAATATTCTATTTTTTTTTTTTTTTTTTTTTTTTTTTTGCCAGCATAAATTGACATTTTCATTTCTACTCTTTTTATGCACAGCTTTTCATTCCTCCCCCTTCCTCTTTTCTTCTTTCTCTCATTCTCTCTTCAATGCATCCTCCCCCCCCCCTCCCACACAGACTCACACACACACTCCTCATCAAACATGACAATAAATTTATGATTGCAGGATAAAGGTTATGCTCTGTGTCCTGAGCATATTGTTATGTGACCTCTCCAAGTGACATAAGCGAAGCACATTTGGCATTGGGTCATTAATGGCGTGAGACATCATTTTCACAAAGATATTAAAATAACTTCATCAACACAAAATGAATAAATAAAGATTTAAATGCACGGGATGGGCATGAGTGACAAAAGGAGTGTTATTATGGTTTTTGTAATTTAAATGTATATTTAATTAAATCTGACTTTCGTGTCAGATTTATAGAAAAAAAAATATTTGGCAGTATTAGCATCTCAGTGGTTTTATTAAACTATTACATCCTTTTATGTCAATTATAATATATTGTATTCTTCACACCAACACTGACTTGATTGGCTTGATTTTTGCCAATATTTTCCCAAATGACTGTATTTTTCTTTAATATTATGTCTTATGTCATCACATTTTTAATTGGGAGTCAACATGAGGTGTTATATAAAATTGAGAACATGTTTGGCGCAACTTGCAACCAAGAACATATTGATTGTCTTTATTTAATTGACCGACAAGGCGCATGTTTAAATGTCAAAAAAAGCATGCTGCATGAAGTGACTTGTATCACTAGTTGTAAGTAATATGAATTTTATGCAAGGATTGGTTATAATTAACTGCTTTTATTTTTAACCTACATTTTCAGTGAACAGCTTTCATCTCTGGGTTTTAATTGGCATTAGTTAATTGTGAATATACCAGACACTCTCATGGCTGAATGCAATATACAAGATAAGAAAAAAAAACTTGGTGTCTGTTCATGACTCAGTTTGATCATATCGATTTGTTTCAATTTTCAGATTTGAAGATCTGAAGAGAATTTGCTGTTTTAGCATTGAAGAATCTTGCCTGAGGATTTCTAGGTACCTAGGACATTTAGTGAGCACAAATAGTACAAATGTAAGTAGACTCAATATATTTTTTTGCACTGATTGAAAAAGTAGTTTTTTATTCATAACAATTTAAGCTCAGTATACCTTAATTAGTAGTCAAATAGCACAGTCAGCAAGTGGACCTTAAAATTCTGTATGAAAAAATAATTGCATTCAGATTTTTATTTGAAAAGTCAAACCCTTAAATAACAATAAGGGGAAATAATGATATTCAGAAATAGGATTGGAGCTGTTTTTGATAAACCTGGCTGTAAATGCAAGCATTGAAGAGGCACAATTCTGTATGGATGGGGAGGGGAAGCATGACCCCTTGGAATTTTTTAAAATAAATTTTTCACAAATATCTTGATCTCTGTATAAATTGGGAAGACTTTCCTCTCTATATATTATGTTTTGGAAGCAAAAGCTATCAAAATTATATATTAACATTGGCAAGTTACTTTAAGTTTAGGAATGAACACACAATATAATATTTTTGCACCAAAAAGACTGCGGCATATTTAACCACATTTTTTTTTTTTTTGCAAAATAAGTCTCCCAAAGAGCATGTTTAAAGATAATGTTTTTCCGTTAAAACAGCAGCCACAAAGTGCTGCACCTGTACATATTAAGTTACAGCAGGTGACACATGTATTGTTGTTCTGATATTTTATAATACAGAAGACAGAGATGCATCAATCTGTTAGTAGAGTATAAAAGTGACTTCCTACTTACAAGATCTCTTATGGTTCTTCAGTGTATGATACTGCCAATAGTGCACTGGCATTGCAAAGGAGGATACTTTAAGAAAGGTCTCAGATTGAAAATATGGAATCGAGTGAGGAAAACATCAAGAAAAAACTTGTTCTTTTTGTCTCATCTTATTCTTATTTTAAAGCACTTTTTAGATGCACAAGTTTGCTGGGGTGGATATTTCTAATAGGTCACATTCAAGTTGGTTTAGGCAAGAATCTATTGCTTTTAAAAATATTTTTATCTGACTCGGAAAAACTGTATAAAAATGTTGCACCTGCAGTTAAAGGCTTGGCTGAGGAGCATCAAAAGGTGTCCATAAAGGGCTAGAGATTTTTTATGGTTCATTTACATCATGAAATATGAAAAAAACATTCTAAGTCTGCGTTACAATTGAAATTGCCAAAAAGGGTGACAAATGAAGATCATTTTTGTATAAAATTTTCAGTATGATCACTGTTGTATGTATGGACAACAGAGAACACCTGCAGACAATACATGTCAGAAAATACTTGTGCATTAGGGCAGTTTTTTTCACATATCTTGTGTGCAGCTAAGCTGACATACAGACCCTTGGACAGCACTTTGAAAAGGGAGTTTTTTTACCTGAAAAGAGGACCTTTTTACCCCATCTTATTACCCAACTTGAGAAACACCATAGAACTTAGATCAAATTTTGATTCACAGTGGACCTTTGTGGGCCAAGAGGGTGGCTCTTTCATCCCACCCCCACACCCATGGACTTGATTAAAAACCTGCAATAAGTTTAATTGTGATGCTTGAATTAAGTCAGAAAAAGGTATTAGAAAGCGGGCTATGTTAAAAAGACCAATTATTGATTCTTGTGACCCATAGGTAACCTTTTGTGATATCTGATCACGCCCAGAATTACTTTGGGGGAGAGATTGTGGAAACCCTTTTTTGTCATGATCCTTATGTTAGAAACATGTTGAAATATTTTCTGTTGCCAAATTAAAGGCTATAAACATAGCACAGTTTTAAACACATCATTTCATGTTTTGAATTTGATTTTTTATTGTTGTTGATTTTTACCCCTTATTGTGTGATAGGATAGCATCATAAAACAAAGAGGAATGAGTAATATTTTACAGATTTGGGTTTAGAATTGCTCCTTCTTCATCTTGAGCATCTATTTAATAGAAAATGATTGATTTAAGGCATTGTTGATATTCCCATTTAATGTGTGGCATCACCACTATACAAAAAGTACCCTTCTAAAATTTTAAAGATTTGGTCTAGAATTCCCTTTCCTCTATCTGGTAAGAAAGACAAAGTCAATTGTTTAAAAGTGCGAGTGAAAATTGATCTAAGTGCGAAATGGGGAAGTGTTTCTTCCTAAGTCTTAAGACTGTTAAGTCAGTCAATTTAATACTCTGGCATACAAAATTATGGCACCACTTTTCAAATACAAAAAATAATAAGTATCCACTTTAGCCATGTCCTTACATATCTCTCCTATCCAAAGTATTCATTCTCTCTTGGAAACAAATTCCATTGATTAACTTTGTTAGATAAAAAATATATGAGGCACTGTGCACACACTTAAGGAGTGCGGATAGATCCCTATCTTGTATATTAACTTGTGAACTACTGTGTAAATGTTGACTGAATCCAGTGTACACATTTGCTCAGGAGAAAGTGTTTTCAAACAATAAACATCATAAGTTTGATTAGAGAGTTTACACGTAGGGTATGATCCCGCTGGTCCACCTGCTTATATTGGGTGTTAATTAGACAGACTGTGCACAGGGGAAGACTCTTGATTGGGGCAAACAAACTACGTGTGGGCTTTCTGCAGGATTTTAGAGTACTTACGAAACAGTGTTTGTCCCAGGGGAGGATATCTTTTAAAAAAGGGGAATTTTATTTTAGAAAATAGCAATGGAATAGTTAACATTAGATTGGGGCAAACAAACTAAGACTGTTTTTCCCAAATGTTAGAGCAAAAACAGTGCATTTCCCACATGGGCTATATTAGAAAAAGGGAGTTTTATAATAGAAAATGGCATTAGAGCTGTTAACATCAGACTGGGGCAAACAAGCTAAGCTTGGTATTTTCTCTGGATTTAAGAGTAAGAAACAGTGCATTTCTCAGGAAAGATCTTTTAGAAAAACAGCCCTTCAGTCTGCTATCTGTGAGTTCCACCCCTGGGTCTCCCATCATCTTATATTAATGTATGGTAACTGACCCCCAGTCTTCTATCTGTGAGTTCTACTCCTGGGTTTGTGTATGTGGTAACTGCTCCTCAGTCTGCTAACTGCGAGTTCGACCCCTGGGTCTGTACGCATCCTACACTGTGTATGGTAACTGTCCCCCAGTCTGCTATCTGTGAGTTCCGCCTCTCGGTCCATAAGCATCCTACACTGTGTATGGTAACTGTCCCTCAGTTTGCTATCTGTGAGTTCCACCCCTGGGTCTCCAAGCATCCTATATTCATGTATGGCAACTGTCCCCCAGTCTGCTATTTGTGAGTTCCACCCCTGGGTCTGTGTATGTGATAACTGCTCCTCAGTCTGCTAACTGCGAGTTCCACCCCTGGGTCCATAAGCATCCTACACTGTGTATGGTAACTGTCCCTCAGTTTGCTATCTGTGAGTTCCACCCCTGGGTCTGTAAGCATCCTACACCGTGTATGGTAACTGTCCCTCAGTCTGCTTAGCATAACTGCTGTGTTCACAGTGGCAGATGGATGTGTAACAGACCTATGAGAGGTGATTAGTTGTGGTGGCAGGCGGTGAGGCGGGTGTTAAGACAAGCATTTAGACAGCCATAAGGGCAGACGGCAAATCAAGCTTCTGGTAAGTGTCAAACTGCTCCGCCCTCCCGTCCCTGTGCCATTTAGCTGCTAATGAAGAAGGTAATTAGTCGTAAAATGAGCCGTTGCTGAGCTGCGACTGACTAAACAACTACAGCGGGCTACTGGTGGTAAG